ACCTCTGTTCCCAGTCACTTATATCTAGGCAGAACTCAATTAAAAAGTTCTTCCTAACCTGGAGCCAAAAATATTTCTCCTCATAGCTTCTACCTATTAATCCCGGTTTTAACTATTGGTGCCAAGGAACAGAGTCTATTTCCTCATCTATATCATGGTTTTTCAATAATTTGAAAACAACTTGCAAACATTTGTTTCTTCAGCTCATCCTAATACATAATTTAATTACCTCAACTATTATTCTTACCCAGGAAAATACTGACTAGCACAATGCAAAAATCTCTAAAAATTTTGCTTTAAATATCATTCTATTAAGTGCTATACTTAACATAGACTTAGTAAATAAGAACACTAATTTCTTCCTTAGCTAGATATGTGCATATCTATATATATCACAGATTATTATCACATGTATGTCACATATGTCATATATGTGTGTGCATTCATTTGTACCATGATTATTACTTAATATTGTTTTCCAAATGTGCTGTACCAAACTATGGTTTCTCCATCCTATACTTAATTTTTCTGTATAGGATGTGTACCATTGATTTCTGGACCAAAGTACATACTTTAATCTTTTTAGACTCAACCTATTACTTTAACCCATTCAAGTCATAATGAATCCTAATTCTGTTGCACATATTCACTATGTGTCCCAATATCACATTATCCTCAGTTTGGGTAAGTGTTTCTTCTCAATAGTCTTATTTTAGTGAACAATGATAAAATGTTGAATATAAGGCCAAAATTTCACCAGGAAACATCATACAGTTTGACAATGTTTCACGAACAACCAGTTGTTAACTCTAGTTTTTCTATATTGAGACCATATTTCTAAATATTGTCCATAGAGATCATATAAGTTATTTCAAGTACCTTAACAATATCCAGATATAATGACTTATAAGAGCCAAAGATCTTTAGGTTTTTATTAACTCTTTAAACAAATTTTTATTGTAAGTATGCTTTGTGTCAGGCACTATAATTATCTCTAGTGATCTAGCCAATAAGACACTGCTCTCAAGGAGCTTACAATCTAGTGAGGAAGGCAGGTAATCACAATTGATGACTACCGTACAGTATTATAAACATGACAGGCAATTCACGAACCGTGGAGGCACAGGGTGTGGTTATTTAAACCAGACTGTAAGAATTAGGAAAGGTTTCCCCAAGGAGATAACAGGGTTTGAGTTTGAAGTCATTACACAATAGTCATATTAAAATGTTGGATGTATGCATGTGGTGCTCTTCAGAGAGGTCAAGGCCAGACATACAGACTCAGGAGTCAACAGTGAATAAATGGTATTTATAGCCATGGATTTGAAGAAGACCACTTCAAATCGAGCAAGGGGTCGACTGAAGAAAGAGGGAAAGCTTTGACAGTTTAGGTCAAGGGAAGAACACTTGCAGAGGTGGGAAAGAGCAAGTATGTATGCGACTTGACTCATGTGTGGGCTGAGTAGGGGAGGTACTGGGATAGAAAGATGCTGGAGTTGTCAGAGCCAGTCCAGCAAGAGCCTTTTGTGAAGCCAAGAAATCAGAACCTTATGTAGAAAGTGATGGAGTCCCTTAAAAAGTCTCTAAGCATTGGAACTACTTGACTAGATTGAAGATTCAGAAAATACACTCTAGGGTTAGTGTGGAATATGAACTGATGGAGGAAGACAAGAGGTAGGGAGACTTAACAAAAAATTCACCAGAAAAGGTGGGGGGAATAATTAAAGCAGTGTCCACATGAGAATGAAAATGGAGGACACATTCCAACGATGCTGTATGCTCTGAATTGAGAAGACTTGAAGACTAATGAATTTGAAAAGCCAAGGTAGAAAGAGAAGGTCTAAAGTGATCCCCAGCATTTCAGTTTGGATAGCAGAGGAGGTAACGGCGGCATGTTCTGGGAAAGGGTACCCTGCATTTGGAGTGGTGGGGAGGATTTCTGAGCTCAGGTTTTATCATTCTGAGTTTCAGGTCAAAATGGGATGGCCATGTAGAAATGTTAGATGCATGGGTATGGCATTCTTCAGAGAGGTCTGGGCTGGATGCAGAGACTCAGGAGTTAACAGTGTATAGGTGGTTGTTACAGTGATAGATTTGGACAAAAGTACTCAGGCAGAATATATAGAAAATCAGAGGAAAGATTAATAGATTAAGGTAAAATCCCAAGCTGTAAAATCAAAAGCTAACTGTGTTCAACGACTTAAAGTATTCTTTCTCATTTAAGTTTATTTCTTATATTTTAATATATATTAAATTTCTAAAATTTTTGGAAAGGAAATTTATCAGGTAGCAAGTCAGTGGGGCACTGCTGTTTCAGTTACACATAAAAAGCACAGCAGCATAAATATTTATATTATACATCTCAAAAAAATGCAAGTTAAAAATATAGTAAAGAGCCAGGAAAAGTTTATGATACAATTCTAGCTCAACATCAAAATTATAGATGAAATGTTTAGGACCCCAAATTCTTCATTTCTTCTTTATTTTAAAACATTTTCCTCTTATTCATAGTCTCAAGGGTGCAGGTGGATGTTGTTATAATAGGAAAATGGTAAGTTATCAAAGTTCATGTTAACTACACTTTCATAAACATTAAGTGCATATGTCTACAGAATCCTACTGCTTCATTAACTCTACTCAAAAAATAAAGGTAAATAAATCAAAATATCATTGGGCAAGATCTCACCACATTGAGGAGAATTTAAAAACTGTACCTAGCTTTCAGATTTTGTGATCTCAAATATTCCTCTTAATCAAGATATTCTATACTTAATCAATTCATATAAGATGGGCTAATTGTATTTTTAAGATATAAATAATTTGTATATTTTTTCACATTATATTATTATAGCTGACATCCTTAATCTTGATGTTCAAAGAAATGTAATACTATGGATCCAACCATAGCCAGAGAAAACTCGAGTCTTCTGAAGTTTATAAATTCAGTGGTAAGAAAATATAAATTATTATTAAAATGCTCAATACAAATCTAATTCTCTAAGGTACATCTACTTTTTAATAAATTAGATTTTTAGCAGCATCACCAGGGTAACTGTCAATAAAGCTTTAGTCTCATAATTACAAAAAATAAAAATAAATGTTTAAACTATGATAGAAAATTTCACAGATAAAATTTCAATAATTTCTCAACATATCTAAAATCCTGTGATATGGGATTACAAAGTAAATGTTGGGCCTTCCACTTGAAGATTTCCATATTCACCAAAAGAGAATATTTATTATATTAGTCTTAACCCATAAGACTTAACTTTAAAAATCTCTCAACTACAGATACTATACAAGTACACATTCAGTTAACATATAAGACAATTTAATAGTATAATTCTGAAAAGGGATAGAATGTCCCCCAAACGCTCTTGCAACATGACAGTAGTTACCAGGCTTGCTGTCGGCATCTTCAGAACTCTTTGATGACATCTGATGAGGAAAAGGAGGGAAATGGAAAAGAGCCCTATCCGCATACAGAGCAACCTGACTGACAGAAGTTGAGTTGAGGCAACACGGACAATCTCCCTGACTATAAGACATACACAGCAGTTTATGACAATATTTCAACATTCATCAAATAAAAGGTTAATGTAAGGAATATCTAAAATATGAGAATATGTCCTTTCACTTGGAAAGAATAAGGTCTGATAAGGCCCAGTTCTCTATTGAATGCTAATCTCCCTGCTGTGGAACAAAATCTCTAACAGTGAAGAGCAGTGATGGTGGCAGATGGTGGTTATTCCCAAACCTGCCCCACTGGACACTTCATATCCAACCAGGCAGATGGCCAAGGAGGGACACATGAATATAACTCAGGCCCACCTACCACACACCTAGAAATCTGGTCCTGACATCAGACTATGTAGCAATGGAATAAGCAGGACTATTTGAGGTGAAAACCAGGAGATCCTTCTTAATAGGGAGCTTTATTTAATGCTAGACTAAGTGGATCATGATACTGTCCCCAGACTTTGCATCCCCCACATTCCTGCAAATATCCATTCCAAAATACTAATTCTAATATCATATCCTTTCTTTATAAACTATGCTTTCAAAATGAACCTCAGTATCTCTTAAACAACATCTATAAAACTAGGGAATCTACATTTAAGTACTCTTACCTGTGATCAATATGGCATTTAAGAAATCATAAAAAATGACTTGTAACAGCAAATTAATTTTTATTCCAGATCACTGCAAATGTTACACTGTTACCTAAAAGCGCATATTTTTGAAAATTGTTTATTTATATACTGTTCAACTACTCTAACTACTGAATATTAATTACTGTTAGTCACCAGTTATGTGAACCTTTCTATTTAAAAAAAATAAACAAAGACAAAAAAACAAAGTTCAAACCACAAAAGTTTTCTGTTGTTGTTTTGGTAGGAAATGAGTGACTGGATTTAGGTTTTTTTTTTTTTTTACAAGTAACTTCAAATGTAATGACATATTTTTTGAGAAATATTCTAATTTCCTAATACAAGTCCTTTACAAAAAAAAATACTAAAATTGAAAATTGATCTACCATGTGAAATGTCTTCTTCCATGCCTCAATATAAACTAAATAGACTTTAAAATGATAGTTTTATCTGACTTTTTTAAGTGAATATTCACTCAGGAGTATTTTTTAAAAAACAGCTTCATGAACTGGTATTTGCCCAAAACATGTAAACTCAGTATCCAATTAAACTTGCATATTTGGTGTAAGAAAGAAAGAGTAACTTTTTTCCTGCTTTTATAAAAGATGAATAGAAATTATTTAAGACTAGGGCACTTTACAAAACTTAATAAAACTTTACTTTTAACACTGGGAATTCTCTATCACATTCTAAATCTCTCTTCAGTCTGTCATTTTCTATCTATGAAACTAATGGGTACAAACATTTTTGATATGAAAAGTTTTGCTGACATGTTTCAATAAACCACCATATTTGATAAAAAAGCAATAACATTATTCCTTATAAGAATATAAGACATGAAGAACGTACGATGGGCATAGATACTGCTTCTTTTTCCCCTTCCCTTTCTTGGAAGATTTCTCTTTAGAATAGGCTTCTTCAACCCACAAGGATATTAAAATCAGAAAGACAATCGCCAATAAAAACTTCATCTTGAAAAATTAAATTTTCAGCAGACCGATCTACAAGAAAGAATAAGAAAAAAGCCTTATATTTATGAAGCAAATGATAGCTATACATCTCATTAAGGAGTATGACCATTACCACCCAATGATTAGTGCATTTGTACATCAAATTTTCATTGCTCAAACCTATGTTGTTATACTGCACTATACATTTTGTGATGGTTTAATAGGAAAAGTTAGTTTAAATAATGGTTCATAATGGTTCATAGGAAATACGACCCCAATGAGGCATAAAAAGTAAGTATGCAAAATTTCTGATTCTATGATTATATAATATTGTAAATTGCTCCATTTATCAGTATATGTTTACAAAGATACCTGGAAGGATGTTTAACAGTGTTAAAATATTATCTTGTGCTAGTACATTTGGATTTTTTGTTTTCTTTTCTAATCTCTATATTGTTTAAATTCTGCGTGTATATTTTTCAAAAGCAAACAATTCTAAAGGAAAATAAAATTCCTTAACTAAAGAATTGAAAGATTTTCAAAAAATTAATTGTAAAGAGTTCCACACTTCAAATTCATTGTTTTTATTTAGAAACACTAAATTTTCAAGTTACCCTTTAGCCAAAAAAAGTGCATATTGATTTAAGTCTGCTTTTTGGCGTTCCTACTTACATGATACTAACACATCATCAAAAAGATTTCTGACTCCAGAATTTCTCGGTGACATTGTAAGCAATAAAACACTACGTATGGTGAGACTCTTCCAAATAAATCTTCTTAGCCATATTTAATAACATTTTCCACACTCAAATGAGAATTATATTCTCACCAATCTAATGCATCAAAAAAAACCCAACTAAACGTTAAGGTTTACACTCTAATATGTAAGCCTCCTCTGCGTCCCTCATTTCCAACCCGTAAATTGTTTCTCCTGCATTGTTTTCTGCAGGGTGAGAGACCTGTCATATTTCTCAGCATTCACTTAATTCCCATCTCACTCTTCTATTTCTGCTTCTTCTATGTCATGTTTTCCCATCTCCCTTTCTCCCGGGGAGTCTTGTTTTCTCACATTTATCCTAGGGGGCCCTAAGGCAAGCCAGGAGGGCTGCTTCCCGGGTCCCTTCCACTGAACGCATAAGAGGAGGCTCATCAGACCCAAAGCAACAGAAGCCTCTCCGCCGTCAACGTGCAGCCCTGGACGCCCCCTCCACCCAGCCTAGGGCGGCATCTGCGGCCACAGCAGCAGGTGACAGTCACCCTCACCTTCGTCCCCGGAAACTGGAGGGCCGTCCTAGCGGGCTGCAGGATCCCGAGGGAAGTTCAACCCTGGGCTCTCTTCACCTCCAACCTTTCAAGGAGCACAGCTATAAGGACTGAAGGATCTTCCCCAAAAAAGCACACCACGCCAAGAGGCCCCCGCCACCCCCGCGTCCCCTATTATCCCGGCCCCGCGTCGCGCCCCGCGGGCACCACCGCCTCGGCGGCCCGGCGCCCCGCTCCCCGCGCGGGCCAGTTCTCTCCTCCTCCGCGGCCGCAGTGCCCGCCGCGCCGCCCGGCCCGGGCCCGGCCCCCGCCCGCACTCCTTCCCGCCCGCGCCCCCGCCCGGCCGCCCTCCCGAGCGGAGCCCATGGGCCCTACCTCGAGGCGGCCCCGCCCGCAGCCGCCAGGGAGGACGCGGCGGCCCGGGGCCCGGACGGCGGGGGCGCGGCGGGCGCAGAGCGGGGCGCGGAGTCCCGCCGACCGGTGACGCGCCTGCTCGGACCGCGGAGCCTGCGCCGTGGCGCGCGTCGCCCCGGCTCCGCAGTCGCGGTCGGGGCTGCTGCGGGCACCGCGGGCCGGGCGCCCGGAGCCCAGAGAGCGGGAGGCGGGGACGGGAAGGGGGATTCCGACTCGGCGCGGAAGAATCGTCACAACCCCGTCCCCTCCCGGCCTAGCAGGGTTTCTGAGCAGCAGAAATGTCCTCTAGTCGCGAGCTAGAGAGGATTGGGGGCGGAGCGCGGGCGGGTGGTCCGGGCAGTGTTAGCACAGAGAAGGTTTTTCAAGGTGCTGGACTCGTCTGCGGTCAGTTCTTGACCACTAGCGTCAAAAACACAATAGAACTAGGACTGACTTTCTTGGACAGAAGCAGACAACAGTTTCTGTGATTTCATCACCAGACTCCTGGCATCTAAGTGAACCTCCGAGTCTTATTTCCAATTTCTAAAAGCCTGACCTTGCTAAGAAAGCAAATTGGTCAAAATTACTAAATCCACATAGTCATGTAGGTAATGCTGTTTTAACATTTGTTACATAATTAAGGTGTCCAGAACTTGAAATTTTCAAAATCGTTCACTGCATTATTTCATTTGGCCCTCACAACATTCAGACCTGGGCAAGTCTTATGTCTTCATTCCCATTTTACAGATGGAGATAAGGAGGCTCAGATATATTAAGGGATTTACTTAGCGTTACATATCTTGAGTGGAGTTTATTAGAGACTCAAAGTCTGATTTTTACACTTTTGAGTCAATGAGGATCTCAGCCTTCTCATACCAAAGTGTTCGCAGTACTTGTGTTTATGAACTAACCCTTCATTTGGCTATGCAGCTCTTGGAAAACTATCAAAGCTTTCTTATTACCACTTGAGTGTATGCCTAATTGATTTTTTTTTCTTTTTAAAGAAAACGTTTTCTCAAGTGACCATCACTTAGTATTGTATTGTGGTCCTACAGATGTATATACTAATAAAATTTTCAACCAATACCAATCTATATATATCAACTTGTTTACAACCATGTTCAATAAGCTTCACAAGATACTCTGCTGCCTAAGATTAGCCTTTGATCTTTATTTAGAGAGTAGTCTTGTTTGTGTCCTCCATGCTGAATCAGAATATGACTTTGGATTTTACAGGTATATAAAGAAGAACTGTATTGATAAATTTTATCAGACACAAGTTTTGGAGAACAAATCATATAAGGAAGTGAAGGGGAACAGAATCTGTCACCCCAAAATACGTCTCTTTGGCATAAGGATTATCTTGAGCAGGTTATTTTTACGAAATAAAGGAGAAACTGTGAAAACCCTATAGGAATTACACTTTGTAAGAGACATGCTCAGTTACAAGGGAGATCTCCATTTGTAAGAACGTCTTCCATCTCATTACCAGGAAGAGGATGACTGACTCTAGGAACTGATCAGTGGAGAAGACATTCAAATCTGCGAATCTGTTTACAACCTACCCTTTCTTACTGTGCTTTTCCTGGTAACCTCCCATAACTGACCTCTCCAACCCCACCCAACATATTTTGTCTTTAACTGGATCATGGTACTTAAGGTGATGGCATGGACCCTTAAGGGGAGTCACTTAGTTTTCCTGGGTCTTTCCCATGTATACTGGAGGTATACTGCATGTTCAATTTCTGTCTGTTTTTCTACTCTTTATCTCTTTTTTTATTAAACCAAGAACCCAGAAGGGAGAGGGAAATTATCTTTTACAGAAGAGTAAAAGAGTAAGTATCATAATCAAGGCAGGTGAGAAGCTGAAGAAAAACCTTAAACTTAGTTTTCCCATAAGGAATTGCTGAGAGTTTAGAATAATAGGATGTGGTCAGCTTCATGTAATGAAATAGACTTACTTTTCACTTAGACACACAGTTAGAAGAACTTCTGTGCTTAAAATACCTAAAATTAACTTGTTCATCTTCTTTAGAATTGTCTCTAATTATGCCACATATGGATATTACACTGGAGCATCAGATTATCCATAGGAAAAGCATATCCAACTGTTTGGATGGGTTTCAGTTTGGTTTTGGTTTAATTTCCTGCGCATAGGTTAGAAAATACAGTTGGTGACCTGAAATAACCTCTTTCAAGCCTGTGAAGCTGTGAAGTTCAGAATTTTAAATATCTTCTATTAACATGCCCGACTCACCTGTATTTTAAAGCTGTTTCATATTATGTTATCACAGGGGAAGTTCCAAATAATGCCATGAAAAAAACTATTTTTCCCAATCCTATCAAGTGTTGGTCCCCTTTCTCTATTTTTTCTCCATCTCCATTAACCTCATAATTTCATTCAGTCACATAACTTTAAATGCCACTTTGATGACTCCCCAGTGTATTTCTCCCAAATAGACCTCTATCCAGAGCTCTAGACTCATATCCAAATGCTTTCTCACCATTTCAGCTTGCATATTTAATAAACATTTCATACTCAACATATTCAAAACAGAGCTAATGTTCTTCTCCCCCAAATCTGCCCCACACTCAGCCTTCTCAGTTGCTGGCAACCCCTTCCTTCCAGTGCCCAGGACAAAAATCTTGTGGTTCTTGACTTTCTTACTCCCCACATGCGGTCTATGAGGAAACCCTGTGTATTTTCAAATGATCTCTGGAATCCAGCAATTTCTCACTATTTTTACTGCAATAAACCGGGACTCAGCAAACATGATCTCTAAATTGGATTATGATTTCCAGGCTGCTCTCTCTCGTTCAACCATCATCTACTGTTCTCAATACAACAGCCAGACATCTTTGAAAGATGTCATATGTAAGGTTTTGTCACTTCTCAGTCCAGAACCTAGCAACGACTCTGCACTTCGTTCGTATTCGAAACCATGGTGCTCACAAATCCTGCAAGGCCCCAGGTGTTAGGCAGTCCCACCAAAGAGCTCTGCCTTCTCCCACTCTTCCCCCGTCATCCCTCTGCTCCAGCCACACTGATCTTGCTGCTTCTCCAAAGGGCAAGCGCCAGGCAGGGGCCCACCTTAGGTCGTAGGTTCCTGCTGTCCCCTCTGCTTAAAGTGCTCTTCCCTCAGTCAGTCACAGGTCTAACTCCTTAACTTCTGCAGGATCTTTCTCAGTTGTCACCATCTCAAGGACATTTATGGATTATTATTTGAAAGTGCAAAATGCCCCTCCAAACCAAAGATTCCTTACCTGCTTTTTCTTTTCTTTTTCAAAGTACTTACTACCTTCTAATATATTACGCAACTTAGTATTTGTTGCCTTTCTTTTAACACTGAAATGTAAGCTCAATG